TGATGAACTAAAGGTAGAGCCTTTAGGTTGAACTGGGCCCAGGATTCTACCCTTCGTAGGAGTGTCTTGGTAGTCAGGAGTCTATCCCATCCCTTCTTCAAGGCTGCGAGAGATCTCGACCTCTAGTTTTTAACACTGAGGGTGTGGCCCAGGCTGAGTCAGTTATTACAGATTTCCAGCTTCCTCATTTTCCATGGCACAGACGATGTCCAATCATTCCTTGAGCTGGCCTGCCTTTAGAGTCTCCCTAAGTTTTGTAAGGTACTTGAAACAGTTACTCTTAAATACCTGTTCCTGTCATTTAGACCAATCTCCTGACACTTTCCCTGGAAAAGGGCTTTTGGGGTCCCAAAGCTGGTTTTCCTGTCTGCACAAGGTCTAAGATCAGGTGGTTGCTCTTGGAGGTAATCCAGAGACCAGGTGGTGCTGGAAATCAAACCCTCTCTCTGGTCCCAAGAAATGAATTTATTGCCTCAGTTAAAGGAAAGTCTAGAATCCACCCCTTCAGCATGGGAGATTCCAGACTTTTCTTTCCCATCCTCTCTCAGCTCTCGCTCCGCTTTACGCAGAGTCTCTCAACAATGTCTTGCATCCCCTTAGTTTAACAACCTCGGTGGAAGAAACTAAACTTCTTACAGATTTGAGAGAAAACTGTTGAGGACTAAGTGCTGAATAAATGAGGAAATGGGGCACCAAGTGAGGAATTAACTCACCCAAGAAGAACTGGAAGAAAATTTTAACAAATTGGTTCAATGTGAGGCTTTTACAATATACTGACTGTGAAGAAAGTGTGTGTGTTGAGGGGCCGGAGTGATAGTACAGCAGGTAGGGCATCAGCCGTGCATGAAGGCAACCAATGTTAGATTCCCGGCATCCCATATGGTCCCCTGAGCACTGCCAGGAGTTATTCCTGAGTGCAGAGCCAGGAGTAACCCCTAAGCGTAAGCATCGCTGGCTGTGACTCAAAAAGAAAAAAAGTGTGTGTGTGTGTCCTTGGTAGGATTCATTCAGTGGCTAACAGCTGCCTCTCTGGCCTCCCCAGCAGAGGACCGAAGGGACAAGGACTACAGACTGATTCAGGTCAATGAACAGTGGGTGTTTAATTCAGAACCAAATAGCAAAGTTGTAAAACAGCTGAGGGGGTCCTCTAGGCATAGGATCACACACAGGTGTGATTGATTATTTACAGAGATAAAGCATTTTGACAGAGGCGATTTTTTTTGGGTGGTGTGGAATTAACTCAAGTAGATGCTCAGTCTGAGACTAAACTGAGAAATTCACTCAAGGGTGATGGGCATCTATATTATTTTTCGCTTTCCCATGCTGCTAGTACTAATTAGGCAATTAAGCTTACTTTTTTATTAATATTTGAAGCTATTTGGATAAACAAAGTTAGAAATACATATTTCAAAACTTAGTTCAGTGGGCTCTGGGAGCTGAGGTTAAAAGCTAGGTAGGATTTTACCATAAATCTCAGGCTAAGTCCTCAGGCTGCTTTAGCTTTTCCTACCCCAGGGAGTCCTGTCTTTTAGGTCATTACAGCTTGTATCAAGACCGTGCTTTATGATTTCTAGACTGTCCCATATCAAAGCTAGGGTAGCTTTGCTGCTTGCCCCAGGTCAGTCCAGAGATCCCTCGGTGCGACCAGGCTTTTGGAGGTGTTAGGAACTATGGCAACTGAAGCCTGAGTCAATAAATTATGAGAGATGCCCAGAGTAGATATATTTCATAGTCATTTATCTCCCAAATATTAGGAGCATAATATAAATGGTCTTTTGTATTTAAGCAAAGAATATTGCTCTGTCATAAAATATGAAAAGAGAAATGAGAAAAGAAAATAATTCACTACAGATACAAAGACCAGAGTCATCAGAAGGTTTGACTTTATAAGTAACCGAGCCTGACTTGGGGAATTTAGTAGCTAACAGAAGAAGATGTAGAGCACAAAGGAAAGGTTAAAGATAAACTCAGGGGATTAGGGGTGCCCATAAGAGCATTGTAAGCTTCTCTGGGACTAGGGGTAGGGGAAAGGGGCAATTCACTGATGAAGCCTAAAACACTTGGGGTTAATATCCAACACCGACACCCTATATATAGGTTTCAGGAGGGGCAAGAGAATTCTGGATGCAAATGGAGGCAATCCAGCTTGGGTTGGAGATTCACTTCTAATCTCCATGTTCTCATCAGTAAAAAAAGGGCCCTCGACTTGCCAGTATCAACCTCATAGTGAGTGTTACAAGCAATAGCCTCTCTGGCACTGCCAATCGTGCATTTAACATAGGGCCTCATGCAGAGAATGAGCTAAATAAGAGTGAATGACTGTTGGCTGAACTAGTGTATGCATGTGTAGTACCTGAGCTCTAGCACGCTGGATGATTCTCCTTGCATGCTAAAGGCTGAGGGCAGAGTTGGCACCTTAGCAATCTCCATTGCCTAAACACCTTCTTGGGAGATTCCTATTCTCTGAGGTGGGCAACTGACATTTCTCAGTTAAATGTCAAGTGGAGATTAAATTGTACTTGGAATATTCTGTTCATATTATCCAAGCTATAACTTAGCTCTAAACTAGTCTCCACGCCCTCTCTCACCTTTCATCCAAGATAGCCACCCAGACACTTCCATGTGGGACTCTAGAGCTACTCCCAGCTCCCAGTGGCATATAGCTATACCTGACCTCCCCTCGACACACACACACCTGCCCCTCCCCACCACAGTCGCCCTTTCTGACTCTGTGCACACAAAGAGTCTTGAAGGTCCCAGTGCCCATAATTAGCTGGGAGATCATCCTAGTTCTCTTGGCACTAAGGAACCCACAAGCCCAGCCTTGTGCCTGGGGTCGGGGGGTTGCACTGGGCCAGGGTCACAAGCAAGACCCCTTGTGGAAGTCTCTGATGTGCTTAGCACTGGTATACTTTACTAACTTACCACTGGGTTCCACCAACAGCAGAATTATTTCTCTAACAGTAGGTTGGCACACCTTGAAAAATTCACCATTTTTTTCTCAGATTTGAGGGAGGGGGCTTTGGGGTGTCTGTAAAGAAGAGGTAGGGAGCATTCCCTGCCAACCCAGACCCAGGAAAGTACTTGAGAGGCCAAAGGTGAGGAGCTGGTGGGAGCCTGCAGGAGCCCAACCCCCAAGGGGAAAACCAGCCTCTGGTCTGAGAGTTCAAGTGTGGGAAGCAGGAAGGGAGCCAGAGAGGAAAGCAGGGGAGGGAATGCAGCAAACTCTACAGTGGCCTCCCTGAGGTTCTCTTGGATGAGAGCTTCAGGCTCAGGACAGAGACAGACATGCTACTTTGTACTTGTCACTGAGAAGTACTGATGATTCACTCTGCTTGCTGGGGATTACCATATTTATTTTTGTGGGAGTGGGGGACACATCCACTGGTGCTTAGGACTTACTCCTGATTCTGTGATCATCCCTGGGGGTTCAGAGAACCATACGGGGTGCCGGGGATTGGCTCCAAGTCTGCTGCATTGCACTATCCCTCTGGCCTCTACATACTCTTAACTGGTGTTATGCCCTGAATCATCCTGGCCAATTCATTTACAGACAACAGTCAATGTGTACTGAGTCACAAACAGAGCTCACATATGACATCATCAAAACCTCTAGTTCATTGGGTGCCTATTATTTCCCTCTATCCTCTCAACAACTCTGAGACATAAATCATGCTCATATTTTACAGAGAAAATTGAAGCTTAGAGAGGTTATGTGACCTTACCCAGTTCATCTGGCTAATAAATGGAAGAATTGGCATCTAAAGTAGGGTCTACTAAACTAAAGGGGTCAAATTCATATAGCATCCCACCCCAGGATACAGGTTAGCACTGGCTACCCCCCCCCCCCCCGCAAAGATGACACCTCACTCCGAGGGGTCATCTCAACCTGCCCATAGATGAGTAAGTGGAAAATAGTGAGACCAGGATGCAAACCCCTTTTATCGGTCATTAAGCCAATGTCTGTTTTGCCAACAACAATGAGAAGGCCCAAGAAGATGGTCTCAAAGACTCAGTTCAGGCTGGGATACTTTTTTAAAATTTGTTTTTTGGCTGTTGGTTTTGATTTTGATTTTGAACTACACCTGGCTCTACTCAGGACTTACTTCTGGCTCTGAGCTTGGGGATCACTCCTGGATCACTGTATCATCACCCCAGTCTCCCACTGGGATACTTTTAAATTCTGAGTTAATGGGATTGGAGTGACAGGACAGTGGGTGGGCAAGGCACTACTTGCCTTGCTTGCAGCTGACCATGTTCGACCCCTGGCATCCCACATGGTCTCCTGAACCCCACTAGGAGTGACCTCAGAGCACAGAGTCAGGAGTAAGTCCTGAGTATAGCAGGGTGTAAACCAAACACCCCAACTCCACCCCCCCCCACACACACACCACACACACACACACACACACACACACACACACACACACACACAATTAATTCTGGGTTAAAGCAAGAAATGGGAGGGCCAACCGGTGAACATGAGAAAGTTCAATATTCCCTTTCTCTTCCTTACACCCCTGACTCAGGAAACGAGAGTGGCTGCCAGGGCCCTGAGTTTTCAGCTTCCTTCCTTCCCCCAGATAAGGAGAGGGAAAACTGTCAAGTAACAAAAACTGCGGATTTTCAACCCTTGGAGTTTGGACTTGCTAGACCTCAGGCTGGCCCTAAGGGGTGTGTATTCACAGTCACCACGCCCTCTAGACACCGGCCCCCAGACGACACCCCGCCCCAGGGGCCCCTTTGCCAAATCATTGTCAGAGGGGCCCTAAGGGTGAGAATGAAGCCTAGGTGGACGGGGTCGCATCTTCCCACACCGGGAGACGCACAGCATCCTCTGGCCCCGGGGTAGGAGCGGGGCGCGTGGGGCCCCACCCAGCTTTCCAGGAGCGAAACACCTGCGGCCCGCGACACTCCCCGGGGGAGGAGCCGCCGTGGTGGGGCGCCTGGCTTGGGCTGCAGCCGCGGGTGTTCCGCTGCTCCGCCGCCCAGAGCGCGACATGGCCCAGGAGCGTCCTGCCTGCGCCCTGGAGCCCGAGCAGATCCAGCGGCTGCTGCGGTGCTGCCAGGAGGCCAAGAAGTCCGCCTACTGTCCCTACAGTCACTTCCCCGTGGGGGCCGCCCTTCTCACCCGCGACGGGAGGATCTTCTCGGGTAAGAGCGGGGCCTGGGGGGGCTCTCGCGCGCCCGGGCGGGCGGGTCCCAGCAGGAAGGCGTCGAGGGTCGGGTGGGGGGCGCGCGCGCCCCGGGAGCCCCTACCTTGGCCTCTGTCCCCGACATCGACATCGGGGTGGTGAAGGCGCTGCTCAGACTTGGGCGCTTTCAGTCCCTGGAGGACTGCACGGGTAGAGGGCAGGGATGCGGTGGGATGCACACATGAGGAGCATCAGCAGTCCTGGGGGGCTGGGGAGAGGGGGGAACCTCCTGCTAAAACTTCCACAAGCGCTACCAGCAAGTCCTCATCCCCACGCTCTCTCCTGTTTCCTATGAACAAACGGAGATGCACGGAGGTGACAGGGCTTAAAAGCCGGTGGACCGGGAGTCAGGACCGAGGGCCCCGCAGAGCGTGTTCTTATCGCCCACAGTGTTGGGGGGGAAAGTAAGGCAAACCGGTTGGGTGACTGATTAGAAGGGGAGAATCTTGCAGAGGGTCTTTGGAGGGAAGAAGGGGTGTGTGTGTGTGTGTGTGTGTGTGTGTGTGTGTGTGTGTGTGTGTGTGTGTTGACCAGTAGTGAAAGTCAGGATGGGACTCTAACTACACTCATCTATCTGTTCCTATTTATTTGTTGGGTGTATAAAAGTTACTTAAACAACAGTTCAGCTTTTTCCTTTCCTTGTTCCTGCTGTGAGGGCATCCAACCCAAGGCCTCAACATTCAGGGCAGGTGCTTGACCCCTGAGCCACATCTTCAGCCTCTGGACAAACATTCAAGCATGTTTCTCCCCTTCCCTTTTGTTCATGGGGCAAGCGATTGGAGATTCTTCTCTCTCTCTCTCTCTCTCTCTCTCTCTCTCTCTCTCTCTCTCTCTCACACACACACACACACACACACACATGCACACTCACACACACACACACACACACACACTCCTAATTACTTGTGTGTAATGAGGATCCCACTAGGTGCGGATAGGGAGGGCTGAGGGACCCAACTTAGGGCCTTGGGCACTCTGCCACTGAGCTATGGGGGATAGGAGCTCAAACTATTTTCTGCAAAGTTAGCAAGCATCTCTTCACTACCAGTGATGACTGTTTTATGAGAGAGGCCTGGGAAACTGCACCCCTCCCACAACTGCCAAACCAGATTAAAAAAAAAATGGCCAGAAAGTGACTAGAGCCCCTTCCCTGGATGAAACATCAATTTAAAGGAGGCGAGTGGGTATGAGCCACTCCACCGAAAGTGGGCTAGGCACAGCCTCTTTGTCTCTAGTGCTCCTCCCTGCTCACCTGTGCCCGTTACCTTGTCTTCTGAGGTCTGTCCGGTCACCTGTGTAGAGCAAAGGTAATCTGACTGTCTGCTGGGAAAGGACTGTGATTGCTGTCTCTGTCACCCCTTCCATCCTGCAAGGTAGTGACTATTGCACACTCTGTAGCAAAGTGTACAAAATCACCATCAAAGATCTCAGAACCGGGATTTCAACCCAGACTTCCTCTGATGTCCAAGTCTGCTGCTGTATAGGGAAGAAAGAATCTTGGAGTGTGAGGATACGCAGGGTTGATCCTGTGGCTCAGATGAGAATTAAATATTAACTATTGCCACAAACAGCCCACAACCCACATTGCCCTGGGGCTCCAGGACCTTGAACAAGGAACCATCCATTCTTTCCAATGCTTCTCTATTCTCTCTAGGGGGTATAAGAGAAGGGACCTCATACTTTCATTGAGTCAGTCAACTACTATTTGCTGAGCACTCCTTATGCATGTAATAGGTGCCCTCAGCAAAAATGGTCCCATGGAAGCCTCTTAGTCATGGATCAAAGTCAGTGACTCAGGCTATAACTGTGGAAGAAGTAAAAAAATAAGATGAACCCAGGGTGGTTTATCTAAGTAGCAAAGAAGGGACTTCTGCTAGGGACCAGCCCCAGGTGAACAGGCCTGAAGCATGGGCGCCATGAAAATTAAGGAGAAATAAATAAGAGAGAAAAAGCATGGGATCAGGGGGCTAACAGCCGCCTGGACTAAGAGCCCCAGCTGTCCTCCATGAACAGTGTTTATTGCATAGAACCAATAATTATTAAAAGGAGAAGAACAACATTCTTTGGTCAGCCATCTAACAATCTTGATCTATCTGGGTTAGACTAGTATATATTTGAGGGCATTAGTTTATCGGGATTAATATAAATGTGAAAAAGGGCTTTCTTAAGGGGATATTCTCCCAGGAGAGATAAAGCAGACAGGACCCCCGCGGGGGTCGGCATTGAAGGGCAGCTTTCCACATCTGGATTCTAACATTTTGGATTCTGTTGGTTCCCAACAGACTGGTACAGTGGGAATTTATAGAACCCTCTGAGGTGGGGTGAGGACTGGAGTTCTACACTCCTAAGTATAAATCCTCCTGCTGCTTCTTATCAGCTGTGTGATCATGGGCAATGCACTTCACCCTTTCATACACATTTGTAAATGAAGGATCTTAAGGCCCCGTTGAGGATGGCTGTGATGTGAACAGAGAAGTGTCTGTCCCACAATAAGAATGTCACAGAGGTTTGCTCGTCAAGCCCTTGGACATATATCTTGCCTGCTTGTCCTTGTGCTAACCTATTTCCGCTCTGGAGAAGCCTGTTTTCTCTTAAGCAAACACTTCTCCCTTTCTCTCCCCTCACATCTTCCTAAGTAAGTTTGAATTAAAAAAAAAACTTTCTTGCTTCACACACACAAAAAATGGAATGTCACAGGACCAGGCATGTGGCTCAGGAGTGTGCTTGCCTCTCCTGTGAGGTCCTGCGTTCAATCCCCAGCACCATGGAAAAGACTGTCGCACACAGGGCTGCCTGTACTCTTTCAACTGCTGCTGCTGCTCAGTGTGAGGTGAGGGTGAGGATGGAAAGGCAGACTGCAGGGCACTTTGGAAGGGCAAGAAGAAATATTGAGAGTTGTTGAGGAAGGAGGTGAGCAACCAGGGAGCATTATTAAGAATGAGTTGGAGCAATAGTACAGGGGCTAGACTGCTTGGCTTGCGTGCAGCTGATGTGGGTTTAGGATCTCAGGCACCCTGAGCATCATCAGGAGTGATCCCTGAGCACAGCTCACTCCCCAAAAAACGAAAACGAAAACAAAACAAAAAAGGAGTACTCTGAAAGTAGCATTGGAGACCAGTAAGTCTGCTGTGTCCTCAAGCAGGACTGGGGTAGAGGAGAATGTCTCAGGTGGCGATGACTCCTGTTTCCTTACCTGTCCCAGCACCGACACCTAGAACAGGTCCTCAGTGAAGGTTGAGTGAACACATGAATGAACGACTTGGCCTAGGAAAGAAGCAGGTGGGGTGAAGAGGAAGGAAACTTCAGGGAGATGCAGTATGGGACAAAGTAAGGGACAAATGCAGTATGGGAGAGATCTGGGATGGGCAGTTTAGAAACAAAGGAAAGAAGCCAGATTCTCTGCTCTCAGATCAGTCGACCACAGGGATGCTGAGGCACTAGGTAAGGGAGGAAGCAGAAAACAGGGCTGGATCATTCTGTGGCTTGAAATCAGCTGCGGTGTATATAATGACAATGAATTGAACCTGCACTAGGCACTCTTTGTGACCTCACTGCCACCACATAAGGGGACACAGGAGTGTCACATATATTCACTAGAGTCACCAGAAGCATAATAGTCAAGGGTCGACCTAGCCTAGGAGACAGTAATCCTGGAAGTTAAATGTACTGTGCCCTTCTTTGGCCTTCTGGGACCAAAGATTTCTTTCTATTATCCTGCAAGTGATATGTCTTTAAGGCACCAGAGAACAGAAGCAGGCAGCCTCTGCTTTATGATATGACCATTCGTTCTATTAGCCTCTGGTTATGAAGTTGAAGGTAATTCCAAGGAAGGGCTTTCATTGCTCCATTGCCAACCGTATGCCCATCCTAGGGCCAATGCAGTCATGATGCAACAACTGTGATTGGTCAGCCACCTCGTAGATCCCTCCTCCCGGGAGAGCTGGTGGGGCTGTTCCCACAGAAGCATCTAGGTGCCAAGCTGACCAAATCAATGACCAGCACACCCACATTTTATAAACAAGATAACTGAGGCTCAGTCTGATCTGATTCCAAAGGCCGTCCTCTTTACACTGTTCTTTGCTGTTGAATGGATATGTGGAAGCATACTTCGAGGTGTGAATAGAGAGGACAGCTGGAGGGCATTTCCCAGAATTCCTGCATCTCCTTTAGCTGGAAGGGAGGCATAGAGGGTAAGAAGGTGGAGCGAGGAGAGGATGGAACCTTGACCAACTTGAAGAAACCTGATAGGGCAGCACAGGCAAATTAGCAATGATTAGGAGACAGAAGGGCACTGTTGAACAGACATTTTGACATGGGACAGGTCTGCCCTGTTTTTGTGGTTTTCTACAACTGCATGAAAGTCCTGTCCTTTTTTTTTTAAGCCAATCTAGGAATGGAGAAGGGGGGGGGGCAGGGGAAGAGAGAACTCAAGTAGCAGTGCTTGAGGCCCTGAGATTCATTCCCAGTACCACATAGCCCCTCAGCACTACCGAATGTTGACCCAGTGGTCCCCAAACACTACTGGGCTGAGCACTGCCAGACCAAACACCTGACCTCGATCTGCCTCTTAGGCTGAGAGTGTCCCTGGACAGACCCTTCTTACAGAGAGACAGAGGGCCAGAGGGATAACACAGGGTTGGGGCACTTGCCTTGAACATTATCCCAGTCACTACCAGGAGTAATTCCTGAGCAGAGAGCCAGGAATAAGCTTTGAGCACCACTGGGTGTGGTCCCAAACCCAAAAATAAATAAATGAATAGCGCTGTAGCACTGTCCTCGCATTGTTCGTCGATTTGCTCGAGCAGGCACCAGTAACGTCTCCATTGCGAGACTTGTTAATGTTTTTTGGCATATCGAAGATGGAGGAATCGAACCTGGGTCGGCTGCGTGCAAGGCAAATGCCTTACCCGCTGTGCTAAATGAATGAATAAATAAAATAATAAAAAGAAAGGAAGAAGT